GACCATCCTGCGCTAAGCATGTGAAACCCCGATCTGCTACTAAAAATACGAAAAAACTTAGCCGGGTAGTGGCGGCATAAAACAATGCAATGCGTTTTCTGCTCATCACTTGTGCTTTTCTACTACTCAGCAGATCATTCCTTCAATCTGGAATCCTTCTGAACTTCTTCTTGGTGGGGTATGGTAGCTCACACCTGTAATCCCAGGTGGGAGGCTGAGGCAGGAAGATCGCTCAAGCCTAGGAGTTTGAGAACAGTCTGGGCCATTTAGCAAGACCTCATCTCTAAAAAAAGATACAGGCCAGGCGCAGTGGCTAACACCTGTAATCCCAACATTTTGGGAGGCCAAGGTGGGCAGATCGCTTGAGGTCAGGAGTTTGAGACCATCCAGGTCAACATGGTGAAACCCCATCTCTACAAAAAAAAAATACAAAAAGTAGCTGGGCGTGGTGGCGTGTGCTGGTAATCCCAGTTTACTCGGGAGGCTAAGGTGGGAGGATCCCTTGAGTCCAGGAGGCAGAGGCTGCAGTAAACTGAGATCACGCCACCACACTCCAGCCTGGGCAACAGAGATCCTGTCTCAAAAAAAAAAAAAAAAAAGATGTGGGACATAAGGCTGGAAGGTAGCACACACAGCACCATATTGTTTTTTACTTGCATGTGAGTTACTTTGGGTGCTTTTCTCTTTACCAAATATATGAGTTCTATTACTACTTTCCTTTGTTTAAGTGAGACAGCGTCTTGTTCTGCCTCCCAGGCTGGAGTGAAGTGACACAATCATAGCTCACTGCAGCCTCGACCTCCTGGGCTCAAGCAATCCTGCCACCTCAGCCTCTTGAGTAGCTGGAACTAGAGGCACATGCCACCACACCCAGCTACATTTTTATTTTTTGTAGAGACGCGGGGGTCTCTCTTTGTTGCCCGCGCTGGTCTTGAACTCTTGGCCTCAAGCAATCTGCCCACCTTGGCCTCCCAAAATGTTGGGATTACAGGTGTGAGCCACTGCACCTGGCCTACTTAGTCTCCAGTTAAAGGTTTTTCCAAGGGACAGACAATCCCAGGAGAGACACCTGCTGCTGGGGGGTACGGCGTGGTGGGTGTGACAAGTTAGGATCCTTTCCCTTTCTGGGTTCCTAAGACTGCATAAAGAAAAAGAAAACTAGTTTAAAGAAATTTTTTAAATTTCAACTTTGAAGTTCCAAAGCTTTGTAGAAATCCTTTTGTCTCCTGCTGTGTTCCAAAGGGGTAAAAATGGCAGAGTTTATCAGTCCGCTACACTCACGAAATAAGCAAAGGGAGAAGAGGGATAAAAGTCTTGCACAAGGTCACTCTCTAAATGACTAAGGACCCCCAACTATCCACACCAGATTAGAATGCCACTGTTCTGAGCTTGCCCACAGAGCACCTTCGAGGTCTGCAAACAAATGTGTGGAGGAGACAGAACAAAGGAAACGCTCTATTTTGTGTGTGTGTGTGTGTGTGTGTGTGTGTGTGTGTGTGTGAGAGATAGGCTCTACCCTCTGTCACCCAGGCTGGAGTGCAGTGGCGTGATCACCACTCATTGTGGCCTCAAAATCCCAGGCTCAGGTGAATCTCCCATCTCAGCCTCCCAAGTAGCTGGGACGATAGGCCACCATGCCCAGCTAATTGTTTGTATTTTTAGTAAGAACAGGGTTTCACCATGTTGCCCAGGTTGGTCTTGAACTCCTGGGCTCAAGCGATCCTCTTGCCTCAGCCTCCCAAAGTGCCGGGATTACAGGCGTGAGCCACCGTGCCCAGCTTCTCCTTCATTCCAAGAAGGTTATTTCCTAAGCATGCCAGGCAGAGAACGAATCTGCTTATTGTAAGGTCCACTGATACCTTAAGAGGTGCTTGCTGTCAGTAGGAACAAGGGCCAAATGCAGAGAACTGCTTTGTCACAGATCTGAGCCAACTTCTCAAAGGGTCAAGTCCAAATGTGAAGTCACGAAAAAGCAAAAAAAGTAACTGCTGTTGTAATTGTTGATGTTGTTCAGCAAATGATGACGGCGGCTCACGCCTGTAATCCCAACACTTTGGAAGGCTGAGGTGGGTGGATCACTTGAGCCCAGGAGTTCGAGACCAGCCTGGGCAACATGGTAAAATCCTGTCCTCACTAAAAATACAAAAATTAGCCGGGCATGGTGGCACACACCTGTAATCCCTACTACTCAGGAGGCTGAGGCGAAAGAATTGCTTGAACCCCAGAGGCGGAGGCTGCAGTGAGTCAAGATCACACCACTGTACTCTAGCCTGGGCAACACAGCAACACTGGGTCTCAAAAAAAAGACATACTGGGAGTGTAAAAAGACTGTGATGTAACAGAAGGAATGAATTAAAGTCTTAGAAAATAACTAGAATTCCTGAACAGACCACTCCATTTTCTCATTTATTCAACCAATTAGTCTACAACAGGCTGTGCTAGGACCTGGTGATGCAGAGAACAAGATCCATGGTCCCTGCCCTCACAGACCCTGTCTTATATCTGGAAACAGACATGAATAGCTCAATTCAGGATTAGTCACTTAATTATTAGGTTTAACCATATCAAATTGCCATTTTTGTAGGTTAATTAGCCAAATACAGGAGACCAGATGCAGTGGCTCACATCTGTAATCCCAGCACTTTGGGAGGTCGAGGTGGGAGGACCACTTGAAGTCAGGAGTTCACCAGCCTGGCCAACATGGTGAAACCCAGTCTCTACAAAAATACAAAAATTAGCTGGGTATGGTGGTGTACACTTGCAATCAACTACTCAGAAGGCTGAGGCAGAATTGCTTGAACCTGGGAAGCAGAGGTTGCAGTGAGCCAAGATTGCACCACTGCACTCCAACCTGGGTGACACAGCAAGACTCTGTCTAAAAAAAAAAACAAAACAGAAGTCAAATATAGGAAATGTCTTATGAGTCCATCTAATACAATCGTGGAAAGTTCTGTGAAGGGGACTTGATCTAGATTGGGAATCTCAAGTGGTGAACCTAAGGAAGCAACTTTTGAGCTGCACTAGGAGTTAACTCAGCAAGAGGTAGGAGAAAAGAGAGGAAGAAGAATGCCAGGCGGCAGGAAGAGCAGAGTGACTTCACTGGAAAGACGGTGGGTATCCTGGGAAAGAGCCAGCCAAGTGAGGCAGGAAGGAAGGCCTTCTTCGGTATTTATCCTAAAAGCAAGAATGGAACCACTGAAGCATTACTAGGGGTGCTAGCATAAGATGCACATTTTATATATTTTTTACAGATGGGGTCTCGCTCTGTTGCCCAGGCTGGAGTGCCATGGTATGATCATAGTTCACTGCGGCCTCAACTCCTGGGCTCCAGAGATCCTCCCACCACAGCCTCCCAAATAAAGCTGTGAACTTTAAGATCACTCTGTAACTCGGAAGAGAGAAAAATAAAATCACTCGGTGCCAATGAACAGATTGGGGAATGAGCAAGAGCAGCAGAGAGAGAAGGGAGGCTGGTACAGAGTTCCAGGTGACAGAGGACGGCCCTTCAGCCTAGCCTGCTAGGGGCGGGGGGTCAAAAATGGGGAGAAGAGAAGGGTGTGCCTGTTCTCAGGTTTCACCAAAATCTCGGAGGATTAAAGGTGAACGAGGAAAACCATGAATAAATTAAACTATTTATACGGAAACCCAACTATATATGAACCCCTCAGATATAGAAAGAGAAGGAACTTCCCTCTTGTGGGGAAATGGACAGATAAACACACAAATAAAGGTCAATGTACCTTATTTGGGAGACCTTAAAGGGAGTAAAGGGTGAGGGGTGGGAGACGTTAAGGAAGGCTTCCTGGCAGGAGGTAATATCTACTTGAACTTTTAGTTTTTGTAGAGACCGGGTCTCACTATGTTGCCCAGACTGGTCTCAAACTCCTGGCCTCAAGCGATCCGCCCGCCTCAGCCTCCCGAACTACTGGGATTACATGCCTGAGCCACCTCACCTAGCCATACTTGGGTTTTTAATAATGGGTAGTAATTGGCTATACAAAAAACTTGACAAAGTTGGCTATGAAAGTTTAACGTGATGACTCTGATACACACCGACACAGTGTGTATCGGAGATCCGGATACAAAATAGGTGCTCAACCGGCGTCTTCCATGCACATTTTAGACATGGGGTCTCTCGCCGTAGCCCAGGCTGGAGTGCCATGGCACGATCATAGCTCACTGCAGCCTCCAACTCCTGGGTCCCAGCAATCCTCCCACCACAGCCTCCCAAGTAAGGACGTGCACTTTAAAAAGACCACTGCTACTTGGAAGTGAGAAAAATAAAATCACTCAGTGCAGACGATGAACGGGCTGGGGAATGAGCAAGAGCAGAACCAGAGAAATTAAAGGGCGGCTGGTACATAGTTTGCAAAGGACTCTCCTGACAGCCGTCAGGGCAGCAAGAGAAAATGCCTACCAAGCTCGCGGCGCAGGGGCCGGGTTCTGGGGGAAAGTGAGGGGTTTTCCTTTGGATGACACCAGGCTTCCTCCCTTAACAGACAGACAAACCCATAAACTCACCCAACTTCAATGCCTGAATACGCAGAGCTCTCAGCCTGGCGGGTTGAAATCACTCCAGGGATACTCGCTATTATCAAGGGCCAGCTTGGAAACGCAGGCGGGGCCAAAACCCAGGAAGAGTGGAGGGCGGGCCCCCGGCTGGGCCGGGCGCGGGGACACTGAAGCCAGGCGGCCCCAGCACCGGCCGGAAGCCGGCATCCCCTCCCGGGCAGCGCGCGACCGCAACCGCAGCAGGTGGGCGGGCCCGCGAACTGGGCGGCCCGCTGATTGGCCGCGGCCGGCGCGCCCTCTGACCTCACGCCGACGCCAGCGGCGCCCTCCTCCCGCCTTCTCCCGCGTCCCCCTCCCCCAGCGCCGGCCGGTCGGTTCCCACCCGACTCGCCAGTCCCGCGCTCCTCGGGGCCTGGACCCGCGACCCCCGCCAGCCCCCTAACCTCCGGCCCCTCACCATTTCCGCACTTTCTCGATGGCCGCCATCACCTTCTTGATGTCGTCTTTGGCCCGGCTGCGGGTCTCCGCCCGGACCGACCGGCCCGACATGGCGGCGGCGGGAGCGGCGGGGGCCAGGGCCAGGGCACTGCTCCAAGACACCGGGGTTCGCGCGCCTTCACGCGCCGCCGCGCCGCCCGCCGCCGCCGCCGCCGCCGCCGCCGCCGCCGCGCGCGTCACCGCGCCGTCGCCTCTTGTGCGCGCGTGCGCCGGCAGCGCGCCGCACCCCGCCCGCCCTTGGGCTCGCGGCCTCAGCGCCGCCTGCCGCCGCCCCGGGCGTCCCTCCTGAGCGCCCGGGAGTCCCTGAGCTCCACG